TCAAGAAAAACTGTAGATTCCCAAAGTAGAATAGGCTCTCACAATAGTTAGAGTACTGGCTCTTGGGCATAAAATCTCAAAGGTATTCCTCAGCTAAAAACTATATTTTCAAGCAGTTTTAGCGTGACTTTCTACCAGCGATTTCACAAAACTGGACCAACTAATTTCTATTTTTCTATCAAACGCACAAATGTTGGCTACTTTTCTCGTGGTTCTAGAAGAAAAAATATCAAAATAATATTTTATTTCAAATTTCGAGTGGTAGTAAACGTCATGTTAACTGCTCGAATGAAGTGGTTAGTTGATTGAGACTCTCTCCACTCAATAAGTATAGGCTCTCACCCTGGTTAGAGCAACTAGCTTTGAGTCCTGCGGGAATTTGCATAAAATTGAAAGTAGCAAGGTTTCCAACTTGCATTTGGTCGAGTACTTCTTCACCCGACAAATAAAAAAATTGTTAGCAGCGATAACGTTCCTTCGCACGTGTAAATCGATCGCGTCGCTAACAGAGCCAATGCATATTAGATGAAAATGTGTTGCTTCTGAAATTGTTCTGCGTTACATAGATCAGGTTCACAAATTCAAATTTTTTTCTAGGTTTAAGTGATCCGATGATCCGTTGAAAAGATCCGGATGACGTATATGAATGAACCTGTTCTGAGCCGACACACTTAATCTAGCTCGGTAAAATCTCCAACACCCGATTACTTCGGCATTTACTTTTGCTGATATCTCTGCAAAATATCTGTTTGTTAGCTGATATCTCAGCAAAATGTTATTTGTTAACTGAGTCTCGGCAATTGGGTTGTTTAACTTTGAAAAAAATATACAGATTTTTATACATCACCTGATAGAGATTCGTTTTCTAAGCACAAAAATATTTTTATCAATCCCGTAACTATTCATCTCGATCAAGATTTAAATTTTTGATCGTTGACACTAAATCTATTCGTTGACAGCTCGTTCTCATACAAAGTCCACCAAGGGGCGCTAAGGCACACTGAACCAATTTGACATATTCCTGTTATGTGGAAATCTAATAAATTTGCGCTATAAGATAATCAATTGAAAATGATATGATTGAAAATGTGTCAGATAAATTCTATATGAATATCTGATACATTTACAATGCTGATAATTTGATAACTTTTATATGATCGTCATATGATAAATGAAAATCGGTCAAATTATAATAATTAACTAAATAAGCTTTACTTTTCACCACAATATAATATATGTGTCATAAATCAATCGAAGCAAAGTTTATGTGAAAATCACATAAAATTTAATTCTTCTTTTGACACATATATATATAATCGATTTCTAAAAATAGATCGAAAAATAAACATCAGGCAGTGGAAGCTTTTTCGCAGTTGTGTCTTTTTTTTTTATTGTAGCTGATTTGGGATTCCATCCAGAACTGTTGAGGTGTGATGCTTTCGGTGTCTGCGCTCGATTCTACTGGGCCACGGCTGACTTCAATATTGAGCTCGTTCAATTAGCATGATCTATCAATCATCACATAGAATGAATAAATCTGCTGACATTACTATGTTATAAGATAGATCCAATAAACGATACATGTCGATTTGTTTCAGTGCAGCGATTTTTGCTAATGTAATCGTACTAATTTAAAATAGTTCCAGTGTACCAAAATTGATGAAATTTTGGATATGGGTTCCATTTGTAATGCAGACAACGAATATGTATTTACCTCAATACCCCCACTTTATTCGAGCACATAAAATGACGTTTACTACCATTCGAACTTTGAAATAAAACATTATTTTGAGATTTTTTCTTCTAGAACCTCGAGAAAAGTGGCCAACATTTGTGCGTTTCATAAAAAAATACAAATTTGGTCCAGTTTTTTAAATCGCTGGTAGAAAGTCACGCCAAAACTGCTTGACAAAGTGGTCAATTGTTTGACTGAATCTCAGCAAAATAAATTGCAGAATTACTCGGCTGTTGGAATCTCGGCGCAAAATTTAAGTGTGTATGACTTGATCAAAAACGTTACTTCCTGGTTGTATTCAAATTACGGTTGTATGGAGGGCCAAAAAAGGAGGGTGGACCCGTAAGCAGAGGCGTGATCCACGGGAGTAAGAATAATCTCCTTCCACTCATAAAAATGTTCCAAAACGATACAGAACAAGCCATCATACGAGGGGATGTCCCAATGAGTGGGGAGAAGAGCCCACCTTGAATGCACGAAATGTTATCAACAGGAAGTTGACAATTCCACTCTCCCCATCAAAAAAAATATAATTTAACCTGACACGATGTCATAAGTGACTTTGAAGTTATTCATCATGTGTATATATTTTCTTTTTCGTTTTTTTCTTATTCTTCCCAAGTAACCAACAAGCCCGCTAATTCGCCTTTTTGCAATATAAGGCTAATATGCGGCTAATATAAAGCTAAGCATGCCCTTAGCCGTGTATCAGCCTTATATTGCAAAAAGGCGAATTAGCGGGCTTGTTGGCTACTTGGGTTCTTCAAGAGTATAAAACACCACCTTTGCGGTAATCGCGCTCTTCATCTCTCTTACGCGTTTTTTTTTTTCATTTTTGATTCACACTGATCGCCCCGAACTCAAACACCTCTGTCACCGATGGGAGCAAATTTGATCATCTATTTCTTCAAACTTAGATTTTTTTGGCCGAGATGGGTACCATCGAGCAGGTTGGCATTTTATTTTGCTTATCTCAGTGAAAAACTTGCAACGTGGAAAATTATGAACCTCGTTATAGAACAGTGTGTGTTTCCTAGTGTTAATGTCATTGCTCACCTAATTTGTTAAGTGTATCTGACAGCATTTTTCTCAGTTTTCAGATGGTGACCTCAAAATCAAAATCGGTGATTGCAAACACAAATACGATTGAAAATACGTTTTTTTTGATAAAATTCAATATGGTGGCCAAATCCAAGATGTCTGCCAAAAAATTCCATTCCTAATGAAAGCCATATCCTTCTTCTTTATAATAACGTGTTATTTGCAGGAGGGCTTTTTTTTTAAATTGCAAGACCCTTTGGCGAGCGAGGGGTCTATTATTTTGAGCAATCTCATTTTTCCATCAAAGTCGACGAATCAAGCGAATTTATTTTAAATATTTAAAGACCATGTGTCAATGGCGGCCTGGTTTCAATGAGAATAACTCAACAAACATCAATTCAAATCTTTTATTATCATTACAGGTATACCTCGATATAACGTAACTGTCACTTTTGACTTCCATCGTCAATATCTTACTAATAACTATTGAACCATAAAAAATAATATTACCAACAGATGGGGGATTATCTTATCTGTCCGATGATGTTATTACTTTGCTTGTTTGAATAATTGTTTGCGAGAAATCGGCGATGGAAGTCAAAAGTGACAGTTACGTTATATCGAGGTATATCTGCAATTATATTATCAAACATGGGTACATGTTTGTTACTTCGGTCATTCGGACTGCTTAACGTGATTGGTGCTTATTTTCTAATGGGGGGCCAAGCTTATGTCTGGTACTCTACTATGACATCTGTGAAAGGGAATCTAGTATCATGTAAAACAATTGATTATGTAATTGAGAAAAATCGTCCAATGTAACATGTCCGATGTACAACTTGACTAGTCAAAACGTCCTATGTGGTTTTTGCTATATTGTAGCATTAGACTGATGCAAAATTTGAAATTTTCGCTCCACAGTGCTTAAACGTTTTCAAATTGGGTCCTGCTTAGCCTCCCAAAATTTGAACTACTTTAGTATGAAACTGACTTGGCACAAACCATTTCAAGTTTATATGGGAATTACTATGGGAAAACTAATGTTTTGTTCATATCTATATAACAATTCACCACATCACTATGCTTTTAAAATTGATAGCAGTGATTGTAGAAAATTTTCTCAGCTACAACTTTGTTGAATACTACTTTTCAATCAAATGTAAGGAACAAAAGTTATTAATGATTCAAGTCACTAATGTCTTATGATTATGCTCATTCAACTGTTCAGCAGGCAACATTGGTGTTTCTGGTGCGAAGAATAGAGCACAAATATCATGGCTACTATGTCACACTGCAGAATACAGTGTTGCCCACAGAACAGCTGCTTGATCAAGCCATAAGATTATCAATCTCTTAAACAACTAATAACAATTTAATTTGAAATTTGGCTGAAAAACGATATTCTGCAAAGTTGTAGCGTAGAAAATTTTCCGTGAGAATAATTTTAGAAATTTTCGAAAAAGCAATATGGAAAATGGGAAGAAGACAATGAACAAAAAGTTTAGTTTTCCCATAGTAATTTCCATATAAACTTCGAATAGTTTGTGCCAAGTCAGTTTCTTGCCAAATGAGTTTAAATTTTGGGAGGCTAATCAGGACCTGATTTGAAACCGTTTGAGTACTGTGGAGCGAAAATTTCAAATTTTGCATCAGTCTATTGTAGCATACAATTCAAATCAAAATTGTGATTTTACCGTTTCTACTGAATTTTCAACGTTATTATTCACTGACTACATTAAAAATAGTATTGCAAAATGTATTGTTTCTAAACAGTTAAAATAACTGTCGAACTTCAACATCGATTTTCTTAAAATGGTAGATATGTTACATTAGGTCGTATGAATAAAAGCGTTTACTTTACTTTTCCCGTAAGAAAAGCACGGGAAAGCCAAGTAAACTCTTTTTATTCATACGGCCCATTGGTCTATTTGAAAAGTGGCGCGAGAATTTCAGTTCCTCTGAAAGCGCGCCAAAACTTCGTGCTTCCGGTTAGAATTACTTACTTCGGTCAATCTGTTGTATTCAATCCCGTTGGGTTTTATGCAACTTCAAGCAGCTCACATCTTTTCCACATGACATCGATGCCGATGATGGTTGAAAACACACCAATACCACCATACAGATAAAGATAAACGGTTTATTTGATGCAAACAGAAACAGCAGCAAGTAGTGTTGGGTGTTGCTCTTACATCCCATCGCCCGGCATCGCTCAGTTCAGTTAGGTCTGTTGGTTGGCATTGCTCTATACTGCGAAGGTTTCGTGTTGGAAATTGTTGTTTACCTTCGCAGTTGCACCTGACGTACCGATCTACAACTAAATGGCGTACTAACTGTTCCCAAATATTAATCCGATGCCGATTTGGTTAACAAGTGACTGAAGGTGGATAGTTTAAATTTAGAGGTGAGTAATATCTGGCAAACCCTGGCAAATGATTATTCCATTCTATTAGACGGTATGCCTTTACAAAGGCAATGTCTGTTGATATGACTCTGTCTTATGACGCAGAGCGTTTTAAAACCCATTTAAAAATAGCATCCAATAGCAGATTCCATGTTTTGCGAATTTGACCTATCCCAGAGGGATGTATATTTACGGATATGTTCTAACACCCCCAACCGTTCTCGGTTAGTATTTTCGCTAAGAATTACATAATTACGTTTTCCACGCACCCACAATGTGTACCGCACTTTCCCCGACAATCCTTGCCATACCTATTTCGTAACGAATTCACATTAGGATCCAGTTGACTCCCGAAAGAGAGAAAAAGGCTTGCGGATATTGCTTTTCCGATAGTTGTATCGTCGCGCAGCTGCTTCTTCGCACCTGATCGGGTTTTACAACTTCTACGTGCCCTCATTTTTTCGAGAAATTGACGAAGTTTTTATTCGATTTTCGTAGATTTGCACCGAGATTGGCCGTTTCGCGTGGAAGAAAGTTACACCGTCTCCTCAACTGAAGACAAGTGCTGAAGGCATATAATAATTTAGCAGACAATCTAACTACTCGGCTGGAAGGTGAATTGATATGGCTGTCACGGTGAATCAGGTGAGAAACGATAGTGAATATCAAATTGGTGGAACATGGGCATTGAGCATGCATAATGTATATATTAATTGTTATCGATGTTGATATATGAGAGGCGTAGATAGTACATGATGTAGATATTTTCAACGTTCGTGCCAACCATTCAAATTTCTTAGGGATACTCGTTTTCATTTGAAGAAGTGTATTTGTTACGCAATGGTTTTGGACGTTATAAGACACTTTTTTTAAACTTAATTTCTTAAATTGTCTGCTAGCAGAACGACATAAAAGTGCTCGACTAAGTGATTAACTGCTGACGGCTATAACAATGCCAAATTATATTTAGTGGATTTTTCGTATACCACTAACCTTCATATGTTTGAAGAGTACATTTTGTTCCATTAAATGTGATAATTGAGAAAAATCTTCATAAAATATTACTTTCTTCCCTTATACTTGGAACTTTAAATTACTGCCTTTGCAATTTCTTTAGAATTCACCTGGAGCATTCCTCGCAAATTACTTAGAATCCTGTCAGTACTTGGAATTATCACATGAATTCCTTTTAAATTCTCGTCAAAATTCTATTGGAGTGTTTCAACATGTTGTCGTTTCAGGGAAAATAATTCGACGCAACTGACAGCCACAGCATGCTATTAAAGCTGATTATCTGACGCCAAATACTAGTTTTTCTCTGAATTGGCCATATTTCTCTTGAAACTAATGTCCGGGGTAAACGACTCAGTTTAGTTTTCAACTCAATTTAACTGAAAATTTAACGGTTGATGGCAATATGGGAGTTTTGAGTCAGATGCATATTCGTAATGTGGATTAAAAATGGAACCAAAATTAAAAATTTCACCATTTTTGGTACACTGGAACTATTTTAACTAAGTTCGATTACATTATCAAAAATCACCATCATGGGAGTATGAGAGCGAGCTTTTAATTTGTTAGATAAGTGTCAAACAGTGAGTTATTATTTTGCTTTAAATTTTGTTTTAGAAATCGAGATGGGATCGAACAAAATATTGCTGTTCCATGAAAACGAAGCCCTTTCTGATGATGTATAGTAAACGAAATATTTTTCAAAATTAAAAAAATAAACCCCAGTTTTCGCCGTATGAGTTAAATTACCTTACATAAATTAAGTGCCATCATAGGATAGCATTGCATTGATCAAGTTGCACAATATCGTTGGTAATACGATAGTTAAGAGGAAAACATTTCCCTATCCACCGTTGCTGAATAGATTTTAGATTAATCACTATATCTTAGGAAAGGATATACCATTAAAACAAATATATCGGTTTTTATATATCATCTAAACGAGCTTCGTTTTCTGAGCACAGCGATGTTTTTTTCGAACCCAGGGCTTTCATCCAGGGTTGCCAGATCTACCGATTTTCGGGATGCCTACCGATTCACAGACAAAAAGTTAAAAACTACAGAGAATCACAGATTTTTAGTAATCTTTCTCTTTTAGTTTAAATATTGATTTCGACACGTTTAAAGCAGAAGAACCAAAGAACAGCACTCCACCAATCCCCCCACCCCAACGCTCACAAAGGTTTCAAGTATCGGGAAAGCCTTCTTCAGACGGCCTACCGATAACTACCGATAAAAGTTTTGAGAAGCTACCGATAACGAAAAAAAAATAATCTGGCCACCCTGCTTTCATCTCGATTTTTAAATCAAGATTTAAAGCAAAATAATAACTTTACTGTTTGACACTAAACTGACAAACTGACAGCTCGCTCCCATACAAAGTGACACCGAGAGGCGCTAATAAGGTGATTTTTGCAAATGTAATTGTACTTATTTAAAATAGTTCCAGTGTACAAAAATTGATGAAATTTTGGGTTTGGGTTCCGTTTTTAATGCAGATTACGAGTATTGTAAGTATGCGCACAAATCGCTTTCCACACTCCACATTCCGATTTATTTCGTGGACAGCGGAAGAATGAAAGATAAAGCAAACCATTCCTCGGTTCATTGTTGCAAAGATTTGCTTTGCACTTCAAAACAAAACTGCACAACAAAGAGCTCTATGATGGCATGAACTTTTTTCACGGATGCCAGTAAGATCATTTATTTTTCATGGTTACCAAAACAACTTTTTGTGCCTCCGCTTATCTATGGAATCTATAGTATCTATACTAACTGGAGGGCGTGTGTTGTTCCTGGGAGAGGGAAAGGGAGGAGTCAAAATCCGAACCTCCAGATAGTGTCAAAAAGCACAGTGAAGGAAACATTTATTCATACAAACAGGTCGCTATTACCGAACATGAAATGCTGGATTTTAATTTATTCAGTTTTTCCACTCATATAAGTAAATATGACAAACTTCGTATTTGCTAAATTTATTGCTAGAGTCACATCTTGCAACGCTTGTTCAATTATTCTTTTATGTAGCTAGCAAAGTAATGGAGTCGAAGTGGTTTTCTTGGTGTTTTATTTCGTGCACCTAGAGATTTGAAAAACAGTTTTTATTATTTTTCGTGTGTTCGATTGCGCGATATTGTGAAGTACTACCATAGAGGTAACTCTAAGACCAGCAGGTCCCGAAGAAACTTGCTCAACTTTTTGGCTCAGCTCTAGTACTATCTTCGGTCCCAAGCTAATCGATGCACCCCTCGAAACATTGGAAAATCCACGAACCCCTCATGTTATCTGTCAAACTTTCATAGCGAATTAAAACAAACATAGTGTAGTACTAGAATTTCGAATAGAATGGGGTACGTTAATTAATTTGCTTGGGACCAATAGGCTAGTGAAGTAGTGAGTCAATTTAAAATCGTTAGTTTCCACCGTTTGGTACTACGCTACGAAGAACACAAGTAAGTAGGTTAAACCTCGGGTTAAACGTTCCCATCGAGGGGTGCGACACATCTAAATTACAATTATATTCTGTGAAGAATCGAACCGCTTTTTTAGATCAGTGTACATTCATTAGATTCCTTTCCCTAGCATTCGCTGCATCTACTTTTTCACCGCTGCCAACGCTGCCGAAGATGGAAGTAGATGCGAGCAAGGATGTGGATAAAAAACGCAACAGCAGGCGAGACAGCGAATGAACTGTAGCTAGAACAGATGATTTTCAACGGTGCCGTCAACGCTAATTGGTTGCCGCCTTCGCTTGCTGCTTTTGCTCGTTTTGAAATTGGTTCGATCATGAAAAAATGTGAGTGGATCGCAAGATGCGAGAGTAGATTAATAGATGTCACAGATAAAAACAGATAGTTCACAGTAAATAGATGATCAAAATATATGTGAGATTTATGGTGAAAAGAAGATAATCTGGATGTGTCGCACCCCTCGGTTCCCATAGTTGTGGGATTTTAAAAGCGTTCGCTCCTATAGTTGCTTATGAAGACTCCATAAGCAACTATAGGAACAAAGGATTCTAACGTACCACAGCTATAGAAGCGTTTACCCTAAACGCTGTAAAATTGTTGCACCCAGGAAACTTTCGATGTAAAATCAGGAAATACTTGCTTTTCGAATGACTAGAGCGTATACTAATGATGATGGTTGAAGAATATTTCGAATAGAAGAAGAATACATATTGACTGACGGTATCTTGAGCCTTAAGAGAGATTCGAAAAGAGAATAGCAAATAGTTACCATTTAGTCAACTACAGCAGGGGGTTTGAGGGTTGTTTGTTTTTTTTTCATTGAAATCAGAAATCAAAAATCTTTGGAATGGAAAAAAATCAGACCGAATGTCATTCAATTTCACTAGTCCAACTTGTCTTAAAAATCAAAAACTACCACATTTTTTTTAAAAAGGGATTGGCTGAAAACAGTTTTGAGCAGTACTCTGTTTACTCTACCTTCATCAAATAGATAATGGTGTCATAAACACACTTCCAGATTAGAAAATACGGAAAATACCGTATGCGTGATAATGTTTGCACCATTGAGTAATGTTAAAATTAGAAAAAAATTCTCAAAAATTTCGTTAGCTAGTTTTTTTTATTTATTCAAAAGGGGGATGTTTCTCAGAGTCTTATACTATGTTAATCATCGATCGAGTTTTCACTTGCTGCAGTTACGGCCTCCACACGCTTCCGGAATGCACGGCAGGTTCTAATAATGTAGTCTGGATCCATTTCTCTCCAGGTACGAGTCAATGTTCGTCTGAGGCTTGCTGTACTCGGGTGGCGTTAGGAACAGGCCTTGGCCTTCATGCCACGCCATATTGAGTAATCCAGCGGATTAAGATCGGGGCTGGATGGCGGCCACATATCCTTCGCCCAGAACGGAAGATGTTCCTGCAACCACTGCTGAGTGCGGTTCGAGGTGTGGCACGGAGAAATACAACATTTAGCTTCGAACCGTACTGTTCTTTGATCCACGGAAGAACATACTTACTTAAAATCCCAATGTAGACCTCCGTGTTGACCCTTGTCGCCTTCTGGAATGAACACCGGGTCCATTTTTTTTGCCATCGGAAGCCACAAATCCAAACACCATGACGCTAGCAGGATGCTTGGTCAGATACACGTTCTTGTGCTCGTCGGCCACGTCTTTTACCGGAAGAGAACTAGTATAACGGTCGGTACCGTTGTAATTTGATACGGGATCGACGGTAAACATGCTCTCGTCGGTGAACAGGATTACCGGATTTTTTCGCTTAAGGAAGTTCAAGATTTTCTTGCATCGTTCAACTCGTAGCTTCCGGATGCGGTTGGTAATCATGTGAGTTTTTTCCCGTGCCCTCAACTTCGCCCCGCAATCTTCCTTTACGATCTTCCGTGCCGTAAAGTCACTGATCCCGTGTTCCTTTGCCATTTTCCTTATTGAACGCACTGGATTCACCCGAATCTTCCTTTCGATAGCAGCGATGACCCTCGGAACCCGAGCTGACCTCGGACGACCTGTGGCCACCGTCGCGGATAGTTGTCCTTTCTTTTATCGGTCTAAAAACCTTTTGACGGTCCACCGGGACACTCCCACGGCGATTGAAATGTCTTTTTGCGACATTTGCGCGTGGGACAAATCACGAATACGCTGCC